GCCCGGCCTGGCCTGCCCCTCTGCTCTGCGTCCCTCCCTGTCCCAGCCTGCCCCTCTGGTCTCAGCACCCCCTCCCTCGCCTGGTCCGCCATCTGCTCTGCGCCCATGCCCTCCCCACTTGGGCGTTGCCCACCCGCCCCTCTGCCATGCCTTCCCCCTGGAGGCACTGGCACTCCTCCGATATGGGCAGACAGGTCTCGCAGCCCCCCTTGCTGTACAGGGTTTGACTTGTTGTATCTCGGCCCCCTCTTGGCTGAGCTGCCTCCGGCCTGTCCATGTGGGGTGTCATGGAGGTGCCTGTGCTTGGCGCTGCCCAAGGTCACTGGATGCCCTATGCCCTGCTCAGCCCGGCTGGCTCTGCAGCCACACCAGGCTGGGATTGGGATCAACAACCCCCCTGCAGCCACAGTGTGTGGGGCTGGAGGGCAGATAAAGGGGCGTCTCCTCCCCCTGAGGTAACTTCCCCCTCCCCGCTGCGATAACCCTCTTGTGCCTGCCGTAGGTTCTGTGCCGAGCGGCTGCGCTCCCTGCTCCGCACCCTGGAGATCGTGGACATCGCTGACTTCTCTCCCATCACCCTCATCGCCAACTTTGCCACGCTCGTCAGCACCTACGCCAAGGGTAAGGTGCCCCGCCACCGGGAGCCGCGGCTTCTGGTGTCGCTCATGGTGTGGCCTTGGCCTGGTGGCTCCCCCTTGGTTTCCCGGTCAGTCTTGAGGGGCTTGCAGGGAGCTGAGGCTCACAAGCACGTCCTGCTCTGGGCATGAAGCCTTCCGGCTGCTGCTGGAGGGAGAGGGGGGCACTGGCACCAGAGCTCTGTTCCTCGGTGTCATGGCTGGGTTTGGGTGATGGCCCTTCACTGAGCTCCTCTTGCAGGGTTGGGGTGGCAGCAGCGGCTGGTGTCTATAGTAGGCAGCAGTGAATCTTCCGAGTCTGGCTGGGTGCCCCACCGGTGTGCCGGAGTCCCTTGGGTGCGTGCTGGGGGTGCTGGGCTGCGTTTGCTGTCGGACGGCCCAGGAATCCCAGATCGGCCGTTGGGCCCTTCTGTGCCTGGCTCCGCGGGGCCCAGGCCATTCTTTCCCGCAAACGGGGCTGTTGCTCAGCTGGCAGCAGGTGGAGGGAGACGCAGGGGGCACAGCTCGGCCTGGCAGAGTGTGGGGCTCCAGATGCCAGGCCCGGGCATGCGCTGGAAGCACAGCGAGAGAAAGTCTTGGCCTCTTCGGCCCCTGACCAGGCGCCCCTCGGGAGCCAACAGGGGGGCTGTTCGGTGCCAACCCCCAGCGCGTGGCTCCTGGCTCGCACCCCACAGCAGCATGTCCCCCAGCCAAGGAGCCAGGCCCTCTCCCCAGGGCTCACCTTGGCCCCTCCTGCCTTGGAGGGAGCAGCTGTGGTTCTCAGGGCCCTCTGGGGAAAGGGGAACACGAGGGGGCTGCAGGTCTGTCTGGGTCAGGGCATGCTGGGGAGGGGAGAGAAGTGGGGCCAGCCATGTGTCTGGGCCCATGGCTGGGGGGCTGGTGTGCGCCCTGGCCCGTGGGCGGTGTGCCGGCGGGGGGTGAGGGGTCTCTCCAGGCCGGCGTGCTGACGTGGCAGTGGAATATAAATACCACATAAATTTCTTAAGCTTTCAGCTGCGGGGATGCAGCAGTTTCAATCCTCTTAGTGCTAAGCAGCTTGCTCCCCTCCCAGCACGTGGACTGGGGCCTTCCCTTCAGTGTGGTTGCCCTACGAGCCTGGCTGGCACAGACGCTTGCAGTCCTCCTCCAGCGCTTCTCCCAGACCAGCACAAAGCAGCTGGGCCTGGTGGGCACCTGCTCCTCTCCTAGTGCTGGGAGTGGAGCCCGGGCAGTGGGTGTGCAGGGTGGGAGGAGGTGAGCAGGATCTGGGGGGCGGGGTGGGAGGGGGTGAGCAGGTGGCAGGGTAGGAGGGGTCAAGCGGGGGTGGGAGGGGGCGTGCAGGGGGCGAGTGGAGCCGGGGGTGGGAGGGGGCATGTGGGGCTGGAGGGAGTGAGCGGGGCCCAGGTGCAGGGGACGAGCGGGGACGGAAGGAGCCTGGAGGGGGTGAGAGGGGCCTGAGTGCAGGGGACGAGCAGGGCTCGGCTTTCCTGCTCGTTTGTATCTGCCTGTCACACCAAGAGCTCGGTGGCCGTGTGAGCTCAGCGGGGGGTTGCAGACGCTGCAAATCTGAGACAGTAGCCGCCTGAACAGACGTCCCGTGGCCTGCCAGCCAAGCGTCACTTGCTCTCCGGTGCTCCGTGGTGCCCCCGGCGGGCAAGCTGGATGAGACCGGATGGCTAACGGGAGAAGCCGAGCGGAGGGGCCCCAGCTCCTGTGTTCAGTACTCACAGGCAGTGCAGGGCTCAAGCCCAGATACTTCTCAGCTGCCCACAAGGAAACGCTCGCCCCACCCCCGGCTGTGACCAGCGGGCTGTTTCAGGGAGAGCTGGGGCAGACGGCAGAGCAGCCGAGCTGGGCGCTCCCTGCCCTGAGCCGTCGGAGGGCTGGCCTGCAGCCAGGGTGCCCCCACTGGTCCCTGGGCGGGTCTCCAGCTACACAGGGGCTAGGGCATTCCTGGGGCAATGCAGACCAGAGAGGGGCTGGGTCACCCCTGCCCTGCAAACTTGCTTGCCCCCTGGTGCTATGCTGCTGTGGCTTCCGCCTGGGCTACTCACAGCCAGCCTGCCGGTCGCACCTCAAGTGTCTGTTCCAGCAGCTCTCGCCCCAGCAGGCTGTCGGCAAACGCCAGCCACACTGACTTCCGCCGGCCTGGGTTACCATTGCAGGGTGACCCTAGCTCACTCCCAGCCCCGGATGTTCCCCCCAAACGTGTTCTGCACAGTCCAGCCCTCTCCTGGCCAGTTCAGATGTGTTAGGTCTGTTGCCACTCTAAGGCAGGGGTGGGCAAACTATGGCCCACGGGACATATCCGGCCTGCCAGCCGATTTAATCTGGCCCTCGAGCTCCTGCTGGGGAGTGGGGTCTGGGGCTTGCCCCTCTCCTGTACTCCAGCCGGGGAGCGGGGTTGGGGGTCGCTCTGTGCAAGCATGCCACAGCTCCCAGAAGCAGCGTCATGTCCCCCCTACTGCTCCTACGTGTAGGATCAGCCTGGGGGCTCTGCACGATGTCCCCGCCCCAAGCGCCACCCCCGCAGCTCCCATTGGCCAGGAACTGCGGCCAATGGGAGCTGCACGGGCGGCACCTGCAGGCGGGGCAGCATGCAGAGACACCTGGCCCTGCCTCCGCGTAAGAGCTAGAGAAGGGACATGCCGCTGCTTCTGGGAGCTGCTTGAGCCTGCACCCCTGACCCCCTCCTGTGCCCCAATCTCCTGCCCCAGCCTGGAGCCCCCTCCCACACTCTGAACCCCTCGGTCCCAGTCTGGAGCACTCTCTTACACCCCAAACCCCTCAACCCCACCCCAGAGCCCTCACCCCCTCCTGCACCCTAACCCCAATTTTGTGAGCATTCCTGCCCCGCCATACAATTTCCATACCCAGACATGGCCCTTGGGCCAAAAAGTTTGCCCACCCCTGCTCTAAGGGGATCAATATACAGCAGTCTGCTGCCTCACATGGTGGTCCCTACCCAGTTCCCAGCCCTGGATTCGTTCTGATTAAAGAGCAAAGCACGTTTATTTAGCTACACGGAGGCAGGTTTTAAGGGAGCACACGTCCAGGGCATTGAAGCAGAAATGGTTATAAGAGAACTACAGATAAACCGCTTCCTAGCACTACAGCGTAACAGCCTAGCCTGGGGTTGAGGTGGGCTCCCTTACCACGTGCTCCCAGTGTAACTGCTGGACAAATTCCCAGGCCAGGATCTGCTGCCCAAGTTCAACGGCTCTTCCTTCTGTTGTCTTCGGGGGAAGTGAGAGCGGTGGACGGAGCGCTACCTTGGGGTGCTTTTGCCCCTCCCTTTCATAGTTCAGGCCCCTTTTGAAAAGCATTTTCCCAAGGGTTACTCCAGGCAAAGGTCATGCCCAGCACGATGACGGAGACCAGGAGCATGGTGGTGACAGAGGTTCCTTGCTGCTGTTTGCTAAGATGCAGCTCTGTTTGCTACTGTCCACTGCCTTGCCAAAGGTGGCCACTGGGCAGGGGATGACCCATCAACTTGGATGCCACCTGGCTACAGGCATTACCTTGTCCTTTGTCCTTGAGAAACAGGTTTACCCATTGCCCAGGCGTGTCTGGGAAACGCTTTGGTCCTGATTTCAGCCTCTGTTCATAGCTTTACACACAAGGTTGCTACATGTTTCCCCGTGTTCGTGACCAGCGAGTTACTAGTTTCCAGATACCTCACAAGGTGTGCTTGGTATAAAGCTCCTTTTGGTGGGGTGCAGGGAGTGAATACAGGGGTGCATGCAATCACAGGGGCGCAACTGGTCAGTGTGTGTGTGTGTGTGTGGAGACCCCAGCAGAGCAGCAAGGGCTGGGGGATTGAGTACAGAGGTGTGCCCCAGCCTGGCACGAGGGGGGGTGAGATGTTGAGCCGTCCAGCTGAAGCCACTAGGGGTGGGGCTGGTAATCACCAGCTCCCGGCTGTGGGGGGGGGGGGGGGGGGGCGGCATCTCGGTGGTGGGGGGGGGTGGGAGCCCTGTGGGACGAGGCACGAAGGGAGATCCCGACGGCTTGCTGACTCCACAGCTCTCACTCCTCTGCAGGCTTCACCATCATCATAGAGCCCTTCGACGACAGGACCCCCACCATCGCCAACCCCGTCCTGCATTTCAGGTGAGCGGGCGGGGGAACGGGTGTGGAAAGGCCATGGGCTCTGGTGAGCGGCGGGGGGTGGGCAGGCTTGCACGGGGGCTGCTGTTTGCTGCCCACCCCCCAAGACACTCGTCCTGTCCTTCCAGCTGCATGGATGCCTCCATCGCCATCAAGCCGGTCTTTGAGAGGTTCCAGTCGGTCATCATCACCTCGGGGGTAAGTGGCAGCCTGGCGCGTGGCTCCTGGGCCTGGGGGGAGCTGGGCCCGGGAAGTCTTGCAGCTGTGGCCGCTGGGGGTGCCGGTGATTAGCCGTTGCTCCGCACGGTGGCTCTGCTAGAAACAGCCCTTCCTGCTCAGCGGGTGCTTCTGCCTCCCCCAACCTGGTGCATTCAGGGCTGGTGTGTGCCGTGACTTGGGCCAGCCCGGCTTCTCCGTCCCCTGCAGAGCCGGCCTGGCCTGGGCATAGGTGAGAATTCTGGGGGTGCATGGCTGGCCCTCTGCTGCCCTGGCTTGCCAAGGGCCCATGGGCTGGGCTGGCGACCCAGTGCTGCGAGTCCAGCTTGGCTCCCATGTGTGTGTGGGGACCCCCCGAACTCTGGCACTGCTTGTGGGTCACCCTGAGAGCAGAGCCCTGCCCTGGCCCAGCAGAGACACTCGAGCCGTCTGTAGCTGGCATCTCTGCTCCGCCACCTCCTCATATCCAGGCCTTTGGAGCGAAGGTCCCATGGGCTGAGTGGTGAACAGCAGCCCCCCAGCTCATGCTTCACCCCATCTCCCCATGTAGACGTTGTCCCCGCTGGATATATACCCCAAGATCCTGGATTTCCATCCCGTTACCATGGCCACCTTCACCATGACTCTGGCCAGGACCTGTCTGTGCCCCATGGTGAGTGGGCAGCTGGGCTGGGTGGGGGGTAGCTGCAGGGGGCTGGGCCTGGGGGAGGTTGGGGGGTGGGGGGACCTGCCGAAAGCCCCATGCTCCCCCCGTCTGGGCAGCTGGGCCCCCCTTGGCTCTGGGCCGGGGCCCACTTGCCAGCGTCCTGTTTTCCTTTCAGATTGTGGGGCGAGGAAACGACCAGGTGGCCATTAGCTCCAAGTTCGAGACCCGCGAGGACATTGGTAGGGCTGCTACAGGGCGTTAGCCTGGGGGGAGGATGTGGGCGCCACCCTGAAGTCACCTCTCCTCTTCCCAGCTGTGGTGATAGGCTCCCCTGCCAGGGGCTCCCCCCGGATCCCCTCTGCCTTGGCCCTGCGGGCAGAGTTGGGGTCCCCCAGTGACCGCTTGGGCTGTGGGGGCTGTTGCAGCAGCCGGCTCCCCTTGTTCTGCCAGGGGCTGCTGTGCCAGAACTGGGGGGGACGACCTGCAGGGGTGATCTGTGCCATACGCCCCCCCAGGAGTGAGCTGGGCAGTGGGCACCAATGGACTAACCCTCCCTCCCCCCCCTCTGTGTGGCGTGACTGAGCTGGCGGCCTTCCTGGCCACGTGACTCAATGCAGTTCCAGCCCCGGGGCCCTTCCCCCATGGCCTTCTTCTACCACTGGGGAGTTGAACATGTCTGTCCATCCCGTCGTCCCCCCCACCCCACCCCACCCCAAGCACTGGCTGGGGCTGCCCCTAGCATGGGCCAATGGGGGGCCAGATCTCAGCTTCAGTCCCTGCCCCACCACCGTGTGGGTGTTCACCCCCCACCACGGCCCACCTGGCTCTGGACCCATGAGACCCTCCCTGCCCGTTCGCAGCTGTGATCCGGAACTACGGCAACCTGCTGCTGGAGATGTCTGCGATCGTGCCCGATGGCATCGTGGCCTTCTTCACCAGCTACCAGTACATGGAAAACATTGTGGCCTCATGGTACGAGCAGGTGTGTACAGGGGGGCTGGACGCAAAGGGCCCTGGGGTCTGGCCAGTGCTGGTGGGAAGGGTGGCCTGGGAGGCAGTCGCAAGGGATTCCCCTGCTCCACTTCACTGCCAGAAATCCCAGACTTGTCTGCGGAGAGGGTGCCCTGCCCATTCCCTGCCCGCACAGCTGCTGCCACAGCCACTGCCCTGCCAAAGAAGCCCAGCTGGTGTGGAGACAGTGTGACAGGGCAGCCAGCGGCACAGAGCCCGCGGGCAGGGTGTGAGCTGTGGGCACGCCGGCTGAGCAAGCACCGCGTTGGGGGATTCCTAGGCTGAGTTCTGTTAACGCCATGAACTCTGGTGCCTAATGGGCACTCGGGCATCTGGGATCCAGACTGTCCCCTTGCCATCCCAGGACAGGAGAGATCCAGCCTGAGCGGGCGGATGGACGTCACAGCTGGGTGTTGCTCACAGAATGCAGGCAGGAAAAGGCCCTTTAAGGGATCCAGCAGGGAATGGCTGGGAAGGGCCCTGGCTGTGTTAGCTGGCTCCCCTCGGCAGTACCCACTGCTGGCGGGGCAGGAGCCGGTGGTTCGTCCTGAGCTCTGGCCCTGCCTGCTCAACAGCCGTAGCTGCCTGGCCGGGCACTGAGCCACAGCAAGTCTCTGGGGAAGCAGTTTCTCTCCTGGCTCATCTCCAGCCGCAGTTCTCCTGGGGCTCCCTGCCTGTCTCCTGGGTGAGGCAGCTCCCTGCCACACCCTTCCTGGCATGGTGCGCTGGCATCAGGGTGTCCGGCTGCATCCCCCTCCCTTAGTCAGGTCCCCCATGGGACTCGACTCCACCCCTCTGAGAGGGAAGGGAAGGGGTCTCCCCTCCTGCTCCCCATTGACCCTTCTGGCAGTGTGGGACCCCTGGGTAGGGAGGAGTGCGGGGCCCCACGGCAGCGCCTGCCTTCCAGCTCCTGTCGGGTTTGGTCTCCAGCCTGTGACACAGCAGAGCTGCCCGTGGCCAGATGCTGCAGCCCCCGCCAGCGACGAAGGGGAATGTGCTGCTCTCCCCCACAAAGCCGGTAGTGGGACTGGAACCTGCACCTGGCCCTGCCGTGGGTCCCAGCTGAGTGTGGGGCTCCCTGGGCAGCTGGCCTGCTGACCCCGGTGTCTGACCCAGGCTGCTTTCCCCACAGGGCATCCTGGAGAACATCCAGCGCAACAAGCTCATCTTCATCGAGACGCAGGACGGGGCCGAGACCAGCATGGCGCTGGAAAAGTACCAGGAGGTGGGCACTGTGCCAGCACCCGCCCAGTCCCGGTGCTGGGGAAGGGCTGGCCCCTGCAGGCCAGGCGAAGGGCATGAGGCTGCAGGTTGGGATGGAGCGGAGCTGCCTGGCAATAGGGAGCCGACTCCTCGGGTCGGCTGGTTACGGCAGTGCGGCTCTGCTGCAGCACCTGTGCTGGCTGAGCCCTGCTCTGCTGCCTAGGGAGGGCCAGGGTGCTCCCACGGTGACAGTTCTCCATCATCTCCCGAGCGCCTGAACCCCTCGGGCTCCCGCTGGGCTGGAACACAGCAGCTGGACTGCGCCGTGTCCCAGCGGGGGCGGATGGAGACTCCTGGGTTGAAACTGGCCGTGCCCGCTCCTGGACTCAGCCCTGGCTCTCCCCAGCACACACCTAGCGCCGGCCTCTCCTGCGCAGCACTGGCTGGGCCCAGGTGGGGGGCAGGGGGACGGTCCTAGCTTGGCGTGACCCCTGTTTGCACACAGGCCTGCGAGAACGGGCGGGGAGCCATCCTGCTGTCTGTGGCCAGGGGAAAGGTGTCTGAAGGCATCGACTTTGGTGAGTTTGCTTGCTGGGGAGTGCCAGGGAGTCAGTGTGGGTCTGCCCCAGCCCCCCTGCTTGGCCTGCTGCTGTTTGGGCGTGCAGGACCTTCTCAGCTCCCTCTACCCCCTGGGTAACGCTGACCTGAGCACAGCTCTTCCTGCTCCCAGCCATGTCCCAGCAGGGCTCGCTCTGGGTGCCGGGGCAGAGCACGGTGGGCGAGGCTGGGGCAAGGTGCCCTTGGGCCTGTCCTTTCTCTGGCTGGCAATAGTTTGGGCTCGGTTTGTGGCACCGGGCTGGGGCCCTGCCGGGGGTGGTGTGAGGCAGGGTGGCAGCCTGATCTGTGATCTGCCCCTGCAGTGCACCACTACGGGCGAGCTGTGATCATGTTCGGCGTACCCTATGTCTACACCCAGAGCCGCATCCTCAAGGTGAGCTGGCACCCCGTGCATTGGGGGGGAGGGGCGCAGTGGGGATCAGCCTACAGGGCCCTGCTGGGGCGGGAGAGTGGGTGCGAACGCAGGATCGGCACGGGGGTCCCAGCCCTGCTGCCCCCTGAATTTGAGGTCTATAGCAGGAGCCTCGTGTCCCAAGGCTGCATCCCATCCACGGCAGCTGGTCAGGGCAGGGTGTGTGCCACAACCCCCCTCTTGCCCCCTCAGGCACGGCTGGAGTACCTGCGTGATCAGTTCCACGTTCGGGAGAACGACTTCCTGACGTTCGACGCCATGCGGCACGCGGCGCAGTGTGTGGGCCGGGTCATCCGTGGCAAGACAGACTACGGGCTCATGGTCTTTGCAGACAAGGTGTGTGGGCAGATGGGGCAGGGCAGTGGGTAGGACTGTGGGCACTGCAGGAAGTGGCTGCTGAGCAGGCTTCACCCCGGGGCTCCAGCATGCTAACCCACACCGGAGATGGCATGAGGGGGAGGTGGCACGCTCTGGTGGGCAGTAGCCCCACAGCTCAGGGTTGTCTGGCCATCTGGGTCTCTTTGCTTGGTAGCGTTTTGCCCGGGCAGACAAGCGGGGGAAGCTGCCACGCTGGATCCAGGAGCACATCACGGACGCCAACCTCAACCTCACCGTGGACGAGGCCGTGCAGGTGGCCAAGTACTTCCTGCGCCAGATGGCCCAGCCCTTCCACAAGGTGAGCGCTGTCCTGCAGCAGGGGGAGGCGGGGATAGTCCCAGCCCTGGAGGGGGGAACTGGCTGTAAGCTCAGCCCTGCTCTCACGGGCTGTGTGGTTTTGGCAGGAGGACCAGCTGGGCCTGTCCCTGCTCACTCTGGAGCAGCTGCAGTCGGAGGAGATGCTCCGCAAGGTCGAGCAGATCGCGCACCAGGTGTGAGCCGGAGCAGACACACAGGCAAAGGGCTGGAGGCTGGCTCCAGCGGCAGACAGGGGCTGGCCCTGCCATCAGGGCCTTGTTTGATACTGGCTTTTATACTGAAAGTGACTGTCTGGGACTCAGCAATAAAGACCAGGCCAGAGCCCGTGTGCTGTGTGATCACCCTGCCCCAGCCACAGTGAACCAGGAGACCACTACAGAAGGGTGCTGTCCCCCTACCCAACCAGGTCATCAGCACTGAGTCTGGGCATCTGCTGCCCAGGGGTGGGGGTGTTATTTCCCCCCACCCCGCAGGATTTTAACTGGGGGGCTAGGGCCCTGCCTGGGTGGTAACAGTGCCGGCCTGCTGCCTCCCAGAGGAGCCGGGGGAGCTTTTCCTCCTCCCGGGCTCAAGCCCTGACACACACCCAGAGCCAGCAGTTGCCAAACACCTTTATTCACGTTGTGCTTGTTCTGCTCTCACCTATAAATAGAATAAATAGCGAGCCCTGGCCCCTGCAATCAGGGGGGAGTTAAGGCAGCTGGAGCAGGGCCGGGCCGAGCCCAGCGGCTTCCTGAGAAAGAGCAGCTTGTGCTATGGAGCCAGAGCAGCCCAGTAGGGGGCAGGCACCGGCTTGGTCTCTCCTAGTTGAGGGGGGGGCACATTCACTGCATCCAGTGAGGTCCAACCCAGGGGCTGGCCGGGCTGCAGCCAGCAGTGCCCCTTGCTCTGTGCACTCTGCTCCCTGGAGGGTTAACGGGCAGGCTGCGGGGGGGGCCGGTAGCAAGCAGAGCTGAGACTCCAGCTGGCCTGGTCGTGCCAGTGCCTCAGCCCGCACTGGAGAGGGAGCTGCTGGGGGAGAGGTTCTGGCTGCTGGCGCTCAGGTTCCTGCTGGGCACCTGTGGAGAGGGAATAAAGGGGAGCAGGGAGTTAAGGGGTCCCGGGCCAGGAACCCCGCTGCTGGGCTCCCAGCTGCACCTGGATTTGCAGCTGCTGGGGCCCCGGGACCAGTTCTCACCGCTGGGGAAGCCGCTGGCACCGGTGGCCTCTCGCCCACATGCAGGACGTTCAGGGAGCTGGCGCGTTTCATCCTGCGGGAGAGAGCGTGAGGTGAGCAGCTGGCGTCGCTGCATGCGGGGATCGCACCCTCAGTGCCACGGCTCTTGCCCAGCTGGTCAGCCTGCCGCCGCTCCACCATGGGACAGGCCAACGCAGCGCAACGGCTACAGCCGCAGAATTAACACCGGGCAACAAGGTGCCAGCAAAACAGCCGAGCAAACTGCTGGGAAATACCCTCAGTAGCCAGCTAGCAGGGCTCAACCCCAGGCAGAACAGACCCAGGGTTTGACAGGTCCCCCCGCCCTCCCAGGAAAGCATTTGCACTCTGCCAACCCAGGATCACCCCCATGGACTGGATTAGACACTAGATTAACATGGCTGGGAATGGGGCGTGGTCACCCCCTGGGGCATGGGGGAGTGTCCTGTGGGGCTCTGCTCTTGCCCCCTCCCCTCTCCAGGTGGCACACAAATGAGTGTGGTAACTAGTGACGGGTCCGGGCAGCTCTACAGAGCCTCAGGCCAAGGAGCACTTCAACAGCCAAAGGCAACTCTGGCAAGGACGTGGGGGCCAGCGCTGGGCCCCTTGCTGGAGCTGGGTGGAAAAGCCCTTTACCCAGGGTTGGGGTCCATGGTCCGGACGCTCTCGCCTTTCAGCCGGGAGACGAGCTTCTCGCTGCCACGCCGGATGGATTCCCGCAGCTTGGAGAAGGAGCTGCTCCGGCGCACGCTGCCCATGGCATCCTGGGGGAGACAGTGGGGAGCTGGGGGGTGCAAAGCTCCCAGCAGGGAGGGGCTGCAGCCCCCCTGGATCCCAGGCCGGCTAGTCCCCCTGTAAGCCCCGCTTCGCTGACTCTCTGGGCCTGGCCCCTGCACACACTGCTTTCCCCCTCCCCACCCTGCACAGGCCCTGGCGCTTACCTGGTTCAGGGGGTCTGCACTGCTCTGGCCTGCTGCAGGGTCACCTGCACGAGAGAGGAGATGAAGAGAAACCGCACCGAGACCCTGCCCCCACAGCCCCCCTCCCCCGGCAATAAACCTGCCCCAGAGAAAGACAGCCCCCCCCAAACCCCGAGCCGGCACACAGCTCAGCCCTGTTGCTGGGCGGCCTCACCGTGGTGGGCAGCCGCCCGCTCCTTGTCATGTGAGGTGAGGATCTCCTTGTACAGCTCCTCGGCCTGCTGGTACTTGCCCTGCTTCAGGTAGGAGGAGGCCTGGCGGGAAGGGGAGTGTTACCAGGGGCGGCCCTCATTCACCCAGCGCCGCTGCAGGTGGCGCTGCCAGCGGCCCCCGCCCCCCCCCTGCTTCCTGGGCCGGATTTCCCCCCCCCCTCAAAGGCCAGACCAGGGAGCAGGGGAAGTTTAGCCCTTCCTGTGCAGCACCACCCACTCATGCTGCAATTGCAGAAAGTCAAATCCCCCAGCCCTGCAGCCAGCCACCAGGGAGCCCCCCCAGACCCTCCCCCCAGGAGCAGTCATGGGCCTTTTCCCCACCCCTAGTACCCCAACTCCACACCAGACCCTCCCCCAGGGGCAGTCATGGGCCCTTCCCCCAACCCCCTCACCAGGTTGTTCTTGGTCTTGGCCACGTTGGGGTCGTGGGGGCCCAGCTGGCTCTGGTAGATGCGCAGTGCCCGCTCGTAGTACCGCTCCATCTCCTCGAACTTGCTCTGGTTCTGGCACAGCAGCGCCAGATTGTTGAGCTGCTTGGCCACGTCGGGGTGCGTGGGGCCCAGGACCTGGGGGGGAGGGGAGGGAGAGCGTCAGGGACGGGGCCAGGCCAAGGGGCTGTGCCTGGCAGCGCCCGCCAGGGCGGCCTTACCTTCTCGCGGATCTCCAGCGCCCGCTTGCACAGCGGCTCCGCTTCCTTGTACTTGCCCCGCTTGCCGTACAGCACGGCCAGGTTGTTCAGGGTGGCGGCCACCTGCCAGGGGAGGGGGCAGCATTAGGGCCCAGGTGCACCGGCACGCACATGCGTCTCCTTCCCGCAGGGAGCACCCCCACCACAGACACCCTTCCACTCCCAGCAGGGGGCGCTGGGGGGGGGCAGGGCACTGCCTGATGGGGGGAGCTCCCGACTACTCCAGCCTGGCCTCTTCCAGCAGGGGGCACTGTGGGGACGGGGGCAGGGGTGCTGGCTGATGGGGGAAGCTCCAGGCTACTCCAGCTCCACCTCTCGCAGCAGGGGGCGCTGTGGGGGGGGAGCTCCTGGCTACTCTAGCCCCTCCCAGCAGTGGCGCTGTGGGGAGCGGGGCAGGCTGATGGGGGGGCTCGCCCGCTGCACTCTGTGGGCAGTGGCTGGCGCCGAACCCGTCTCTCCAGAGAAGGATTCAGGGCCTGTGCCTGGAAACCCGGCTGGACCCAAGGGACCAAGAGCCGCTGGGATGGGGGAGGCCCCTCCCTTTTTCCAGCAGCCTTTGGGGGACCCACTGTCCCAGGATATCTGATCCAGGGAGCCCCCCGCCCCTGGCACTCACCGCCGGGTGCTCCACACCCAGGGCCTGCTCCCGGATGTCCAGAGCGTCGTTCAGCAGGTCCGTGGCCTCCTTGTACTTGTTCTGGTCCCTGCAGCAGGGCAGACAGCAGCGGTGTCACCCGGAAGCTTGGCCCACCCTCACTTCACCTGGACCCCCGGTCCCTGCCCAGATACCAGCCAGGCCTGGGACCCCTCCCCACCCGGGCCACATGCCGCTAGCCACACAGGGCAAGCCCCATGGCCTCTGCTAGCCTCTCTCTGCACCTGGCGCTGCCGGTGTCCTTCAGTGCTGGAGGCGGCTCTGCCACATGCCTGGCTGGGGGAGGTCTCTGAGCCCCGGGGGGCTGCACCGTGCATCAGCCAGGAGCCCATGGGGGAGGAGATGCGAGGGCCGGCACCGCCCCGCTGGCCGCGGCCCTCACCTGTACACCAGCGCCAGGATGTTGAGCATGGTGGCCACGTCAGGGTGGCTGTGTCCAGAGTTCTTCTCCAGGTCCTCCAGCGCCTGCTTGCAGAGCGGCACGGCCACCTCGTAGCGCCCCTGCGAGGCGTATTGGATCACCAGGTTGTGCAGCGTGCGCAGCCGCGCCGGGATCTCGTAGCCGCCCTGCTGTGCCGCTGCCATGGCCGTGCTGGTCGGCTGGCTCCCTGCGGAGAGCCCCAGTGAAGGGAGGCGCCCGCGAGCCCCAGAACCCGGCAGCCGCCCTGCGCCCAGTTCAGGGCCGACCCACCAGGACAGAGACAGGGTCAGCGCCCCCCCCACCCCCAGTGCTGCCCTGCGGGGTCCATCCCCGGGGCCTAGCACAGCTGGGGGAGCCGGGGCGAAGACCCCCCTGGCAGGGTGCCTCCCATCCCGACTCCATCCCCTCAGCTCTGCAATGAGCCCAGCCCCGAGCAGAGGCAAGAACCAGGCATGGGCACATGAAGGGGGCTGCTGCGGGGGTCACCCTCACCCAGCTCCTCAACTGAGGGGTGAGTCAGCAGAGGCCTTCACACCTCAGGGCTCCCTCCTCTCCCCCCGGGGCCCCCTCCCCCCCCCTCACCCCCCCCCCGACCCTCCTCTCCCCGGCCCTCGCCAACCCCCCACCAACCCCACTTC